TGAGTTATCTGTAGTCGGTTGAGCAAGTGATCCATCAAGGAATCCCATCTTGTTCTTCACCGCCATGGCCATGGTGACCGATTTCTTCCAAGCGCCAAAGTTCTCGCCAGTGAAGGTTTCGTAGATGATGCGAAGTCCCGCATGATCGCTTGGATGAAGGTAGTAAGGCGAAGATGAATCGTCAATGGGATTTATCTGATGTGCCATCGAAGCTAGGGTTTGCGGAAGATGCAAACGAGAGAAAAAATACGAATCGATTGTAGAAATCGATTAGGAAGAAGATCGATTGAATCGATTGAATAAGTAAGGATCTAAACCTTAATCTGATACCATGTGAATTCTAATGGAAATTGAAATCAGAATTGGAAGCAAGAACAATTGATTTACAGAGAGAGCTGATTCGTAATCTATGAAGATAGATTGCGGAGAAGAGAATATGAAAACCTAAACCTATTACAGAGTTAAAATGATATTTATACTAATGGGTTAACAGGCCTAAAATAAGTAAACAGTCCATTAGGCCCAAAAATATAAAACAGTCCAAAATATATATTTAAGAATTTGAAATATAATCAGAATTATTTTTTGCATTCTCCCGCTTCTAAAAAAATTGCGTCTAAGAGTAATAACTCAGAAGTACTTTTGTACTTTCACTCAATAGTTTTGAGAAAATACATCCAAACGTCCTCTTAGACTAGGGAGGGTAATAATGAAAAAATGACTTTATGTGGGGTGAGAAAGTGAGAAAGTGTAAGAGTGGAGTTGAAAAACTCACCCACTAGAGACACCGTTGTGCGAGAAAGAAAATGATCACGTAGACAAGAAAAAGAGAGAGTTCATGTGCCAGCTTGACTAGGAGAAAATAAAATAATATGAGTGACATCATCACACGGTCATCTTAATATTTTGTAACTGGTGCAGTAACAAAACGACTAATATTTTGTAATTGTTCACTAACTTGGGGCAAAAAATTCAACACATGTGATGAGGGATGTCCGAGCCGAGCGTGCCATAAATATCTGGAAGTAGGAGACGAAACCTTGTTAATACGAGCCGGTTCCCCCATTGCCATGTAAAAGAGCCCCCCTAGCTGCTCACCCACACCAATCTTGGTCATCGAGGCTTGGTCCTGTATAACACAATAGGCATTAGTAAAGTGAATTCCCAGTTGAGTGTTTTTGAGCAGCGTGGAGATAAACAACAAGTTACATGTGAACTCAAGCACAAATAATACATTCTGGAGTGTAAGATTAACATTAAGAAGTTCAATTTCGGTAGGAATTATATCAACAAGAAAATTGAACAAATGAGCATTACCACACACATGGTGTGAGGCACCGGTGTCAACATTCCAGAGGTTTTCTGGCTTACCTTTTAAGCGCATATCTGCTAGGTTAATACCGACATCTCTCGTGTAAACCACATTGACCTTTGGTTGCTGTCCGGCCGATATATTAGTGGCTCCCCCTGCAGTCCCGAAACTAGCAATAGCAGGATTGCCGCGGTTTTTTCCACGCCTGCGCTCCAGCCAACCTTCAGGATAACCGTGTTTGGGAAAACAATGTTCCTCGGTATGTCCCGTCTTTGAGCAAAAGTTACACACCAACACTGGTCGGGCAGCCCCCCGAACCATGAGCATGAGATCCTTGGGTACTCCACCAGATATAACCAAGTTTTGAGGATACACGCCCGATCCTTGGGTACTCCACCCTATATAACCGAGTTTTGAGTATATCGCCCGATCCGTGGGTACTCCACCCGACACAACTGAGTTTTGAGGATGCTGCCCGATCCTTGGGTACTCCACCCGACATAACCGAGTTTTGAGGATACCGCCCGATCCCAGGGTTCTCCACCCGACCTATGATCTACCACATATCATACTAGATAGGGTCTATATCATAATCAATAAACAAGACTAAACCAAGTCTTAAGGCCTAAGCAAAATCATCCATGCAATTCATGCATTAAAAATCAACATATAGGCAATATGAGGCTAAACCGGCGCCGGTTCAAATCTGACCGGCACCGGTTCACAATCAATTAATATGAACCCGGCTGAACCGTTCTCGACCGGCGCCGGTTACCCCCTGGGCAACCGGTCAACTCTTCGTTGACCCACCATTTCAATTCCAATTCGTGTCAAACTTAATCACAACATGTATTAAGTTATAAACAACCATTATATGCACCTTTTATCTCTAAACATATCACATATGTTTCTATAAACATTTTCATATCACAATCCATGCATATTCCCATAGTTCATTTCATACAAGCCTAACCACTTTGGCTAATCCCATATTTAATCTCTTTTAAACATCATTATGAACACATATAAATTTACTTAGGTAATCTCATGCTTAACCCAAAAGTTACAAGACATTAAGCCACTGACTCAGCTCAAATGAGCTTTAAGAAGTTCTACCATTCTTAGATGAACTCCGGTGAAACTCCGGCGAAACTCCGGAGAACTCTAGAAGCACTTTAGTCAAGCTCCTAACATGGTTTTATCATCACAAAACCCGTATCAACACAAATAACCTCTAAAAGGTTATTTTTCTGCAAACCGGTCATTTTGGCTTCTAAGTCCGTTCTTGGACTTAGAACTACCTTCCAACCCCTCATTCTACACTTCTAAACATGTAGAACAATCTCAGGGGTCCTCCATATGATATGTAAGTCATATGATAAATAAAAAGTAAAGGAAAAATTATTATAAGGCCATTACCTTATTATTCAACATTTTTCCTAACTTTTTCCTTCTTCGATCTTCCTCCTTGGACCTCTATTGCTTGAGCTCGAAATTTGCAGCTATGGAGGAGAGTTTGAGAGCTTATTTTTTCTTTCTTGGTGGCTTTGGTCTGTAATACCCGAGATTAATATAAGAGGATTAATAGTACTACTCATACCAACAGAGGTGCATCTCCTTTTAAGGGAGCTCATCACCCAAGAACTCCAAAGTTAAGCGTGCTTGCACGGGAGTAGTCTTGGGATGGGTGACCCCCTGGGAAGTTTCTCAGGGCGCGCATGAGTGAGGACAAAGTGCGCGGTAAAGGCTCGTGGTGGTTTGTGGGGACAGTACTAGGGGTCTGGAGTAACTACCTCGGGTCCGTGTGGGGCCCGGGGTGTTACAGGTGGTATCAGAGCAACCCTGCGACAGTGTACTGACCCGTTAGATATCGGGCGGGCATTTAGCGGGGCAAGATTCTGGGGTTTGATTGAGATTGTTAAGGGCGCAACGAGGACGTTGCGATTCTAAGTGGGGGTGATTGTAATACCCGAGATTAATATAAGAGGATTAATAGTACTACTCATACCAACAGAGGTGCATCTCCTTTTAAGGGAGCTCATCACCCAAGAACTCCAAAGTTAAGCGTGCTTGCACGGGAGTAGTCTTGGGATGGGTGACCCCCTGAGAAGTTTCTCAGGGCGCGCATGAGTGAGGACAAAGTGCGCGGTAAAGGCTCGTGGTGGTTTGTGGGGACAGTACTAGGGGTCTGGAGTAACTACCTCGGGTCCGTGTGGGGCCCGGGGTGTTACATGGTCGATCTCTATGGTTGGAGGGAGGAGGGGATGACACTTTTTTTGTCTCTTTTGGCAAATGAGTGAAGGAAAATGGGTCCTCCTTGTACTTTTGATGCTCATCACCTCACTCCACCTCACCTCTAAGTCAAACCAGCCCCCCCTCACATTAATTTGAGCACACAAAAACGTGGTGTGGCCCCCACTCATGTGGGAGGTCATCTCTTTGTGTCCCGATTTGTACAATCGGCCTCGAAAGCTGTATTTCTCGGACTGTTTTAATTATATTTTATTTTATCGGGTCAAATAAAATACATTGTGTGATTTCAACCACTATGGAACTTCAGAATAATTATAGATTCCCCAACTTTAATTTAGAAGTCTCCGAAATTCAATTCGGGTTATTATCAGATAAATTACCGATACCGGTAATTGGACCTCATTTGACCAACCGGTCAACCCTACGCCCTCTCCATGGCCCAACTAGAATATCAACCATCATATAAATATTATCAAGACCAAAATGAATATAATATGTGGTCCCAAGATTATCGAGTGGTCCCCGTTCCCGACATGGACCCCACGTGTAATTTACTAATCACGCAAAAGAATTAATAAAAATTTACAACCTCGTAAATTCGTAATTCATTTTTCAAGGTTTGTTACATGATTTACTAAAAAGTAACTATACTTGGGGACGGTGTTACAGACATGGGTAATCGTCGTCCCAGGGTTATCGCTAGGGCTGAGTGCGTAAATCGGATTCTGAGGAGTTGGAGTCGTCGTGGTTCCGCCGACCATCGAAGGACTCTGTTCGGCTAAGAATTTGTCGATGGCTCTGATACCATAAAGTAATTGGAAAGAATAAAGTAAAGTGTGAGGGAATCAATCAACCTGCTTTGTATTAGGTATGTGTGTGATTGTGTGAATATATACATCAATTCTTTCTTGTTATATCTCCTAAAATCTCTCCTAATCAATAGCTAAATATCGTATGATAAGGAGACTACAGCTAATTAATTACAAAGACTAATCTGCCTTTTAATAAACAGATTTACAAAATATATTCTTGCCTAATAACAATAGCTCTAAAAATCAAGCACCCTTTTATCTTACTTCTCGCGTTGGGTTTACTCTAGACGGTGACACTTGGTAGCAACAAGCACTTCCTTATTGCTGGGAAGTCAAAATTTACCCTTTCCTTCTTCCCTATCGGGAATAAGTCGAATTCCTTCTATTCTTACTCTAACTGGATCCGATGCCCTATTGGGCTCAGTTGAATTCAGGTAAGAATAGGCCTGGGATTGGTTCAGTTCTTACTAAAAAATGATGGAACTGTTTAAAAATGTCGAACACTTCAAACCGGTTCGGTTCTAATAAAAAATTGTAGAACAGTTAAGGAACCAAATCAAATCCTAACGGTACGGTTCCTAGTGTTTTTTGGTTCCTAAAATTAGTGTAATTTTCCTATTTTTGCCTTGCAAAACACACATAATTCTTAATATCATACGAAAGTTATACTCATTCGAAAGTCTGAAACATCAATGTTGAAATATTAAAAACTGAAAACTTAACAAAACAAATTAGTGTTTGAATACATGATTTAGAATTGAAATATCTTAATGCAATCTTAATGAGGCAACAACAGGGAGTCTAGAATTGTTGTAGTCTTGTAAATGGCCTCTGTAACAAGACGTGATGCCCAACTTCAAGTCGTTCAAATCTGAAACGAACATACTAAATTGATAAGAAATAATAAAAAATGATATTATGATGGTGAGAATTGAGTACATCACAACAATATACTTCTTTGTGTGTGATCAACTATCAACCAACACTTACAGATTTGTCATTTTTTTTTAGAAATATAGAAATTGTGTACTCACAGAATTGCATAAAAATACTACCAAGTTCATTAAGAAATCAATTAGTTAACTTACTTAACTAGATATCATTCATTTGAAATCAACTTCCCTTGGTTTTCTGTTTATCTTTGTTTTCCCTTTCCTCTTGCTCAAACTCTGCATTTAACCAACTAGGGAGTAAAATAAGCATATATGTTCTTATCAAACTCAAACGGAACTATATAGAATATTACAAATATGATATTATTGAATATTGATTACCTTTTTCAGTGTTTTCAAACCACTCCAATTCCTCGGGGGTGGGACAGTAGTCTAGGTTTGTTATTGAGTCCGACTTCAACCAATTTTGTAAGCAAATCAATGCCTCAACTGATCTAGGAGAGAGAACTCCTATGGGGATCAATTACTCTCTTTTCTGTGCTAAAGTAGACTCGGAAGCAACTGTATTAACTTGAATGACCAAAATATCTTTAGCCATGAGTTGTAAGTTTGGGACTTTGGGTACTTTGCTCCATTTAGCCTCCACCATGTCAAGATATCAAATTCATCACTAAATTTCTCTATAGGGTCTAAAAGATACATGTCTACTTCATGAGAAACAATGACTGAATTCCCTTCTTCAAGGTCCTTTTCCCAATCATCAAGCATCATCGCCCTTTTTCCAGATTTTTTTTATTCCTATAAGTAGATTGATATGTAAAGAACTTAGTAAACTGATTACATTTATAAAATAGATTAGTAAACAATTTTGTACATGACAGATTATATCTTACATTTGCATATTTCATTACAATAGTGTATTTACTACTCCTTTATTACAATAGTGTATTAACTACTCCTTTATTTCATTTAGCCCTTTCATTAAACAGATTATATTTATAAAACAGATTAGTAAACAGTTATGTAAATGACAGATTATATTTAACACTTATATATTTCATTAAAATAGTGTATTAACTACTACCTCCATCCCTTAACACTTTGCCAAAGTTGACCGGCACGGAGAATAATAAAGTAAAAACTGTGTGGTTGAGATTTGTGCAGAGGAGAGAGAAATAACAGAAACCACAAATAATTGATTAAAAGGGAAAGTGACAAAGTTTTTTGGGACGTTCCAAAAAGGAAAGATGGCAAAGTTTTAAGGGACGGAGGGAGTATTAAACTACATCTTACGCTTGAACTACAAATTATATTTAGCCCTTTCATTAAACTGACTATATATAATAGATTAGTAAACAATTATGTAAATGATAGATTATATTTAACACTTATATATTTTATTAAAATAACGTATTAATTATTCAACTACATCTTACACTTGAACTACATATTATATTTAGCCCTTTTATATTTGTTTAAAAACAGTGTCGTAATCCCTATACATTAGAATAATAACTCATTACACAGATAAAAAATAGAATTTTATAAGTATAAATTTCAGGCAACTTATACCTATAGTTGCTTGCACTATTTTCAGATTCTCTTGTGTCTCTCCTTGTGTTGGAGCATGCACTTTCTAATGGACAGTTAAATTACATATAAAGCTAATGAACTTATAAATGAAGTCAATATTTTTTGTCATACACATAACACTCTATAAAATGAACTAGTACCTGATGTTGAAGCATATGTGTCTGTGATTGTGACTATCAACTCATTTAACTCGTCAGTCTTTTTCTTGACTGTTCGACTATTTTCATTCAACATTTTTTTGAGAATTCTGCTGAAGTACTTGAGCTTAAATCTAAGGTCTAAAACCAAAGCGACAAGAAGGAGTTGGTTCATATCATCCAGTACATTAAAATACTTTATGTATTTGCTTTTCATTTGGACTGCCATATCAGATACAGTTTTGCTTGCACCTTGCATTTCATTTGGGTCATTTGAGTGCATATCTTCAATCTCAGATCTGATAGTTGCAATCTCAAAAAATGACTTGTGTGCCGTTGGCCTGTTTGTTGCACTAACAACTACAGTAGTATCATAGAAAACTTTCAAAACCTTCACAAACTCGCAACTATTATTCCAATCAGCTTCGACCGGAGGACCGATTCTTTTTGTACCTTTCCTTATCGTAACGAGCACCAAGTTTTCAGAGTCGTCATCCTCATCTTCATCTTCATCAAAAGATCCAATGTACTTGGATTCCTCCTCTTCGGCTAACCTATCAAATGCTTGTTTGAGCCCTAGTGCTGTCTCGAGCATTATGTAAGTGGAATTCCACCTCATTGGCACGTCAAGCACACACACTTTTTTGCTGTCTATCCTCTTTCTTAACACATTCCTTAAAAGCTTCATATCTAGCCGGTAGGGGTGGGTTCGGTTTATGCGGTTCGGTTTTGACCTAAAACCAAATGTAGAATCAAACTAAAAACTTCGGTTCGGTTCGGTTCGGTTTGCTCATACTTTTTTGTCCAACCACGGTTGAATCGGTTCGGTTTTGTTCGGTTTGACTCCGGTTTTTTCGGTTTTAAACCAAAAAGACACATAATTTCTGAAAAAATAAATGAGGTGCAAATAACCAAAGTGCAGGAAAATAAAACACTAAGTACCGAAGAATGTCAATCCCTGCCTTACAATTTAAATATAGTGCACTAAACATTAGTACATGACACCTAAAAGCTAAGTGCAATAAACTTGAAAATAGTGCAGCAAAATAAAATGCAGTCCCAACTGAAATGAAAATAAAATGCAGTCCCAAAAAAAAGCAAATGCATTAAACTGAAATGATGAAAGTCAATCCTTGTCTTACAATTTAAATAAAGTGCATTAAACATCAGTACGTGACATTTAAAAGTTAAGTGCAGTAAACTTGGATATAGTGCAGCAAAATAAAATGCAGTCCCAAGTGCAGTAAACTTGGATATAGTGCAGCAAAATATAATGCAGTCCCAAGTGCAGTAAACTTGGATATAGTGCAACAAAATAAAATGCAGTCCCAAGTGCAGTAAACTTGAATATAGTGCAGCAAAATAAGTCTCTTACGTTTTAGGTTAAAAGATTATGGAGTACTACAGGACTACTGGACTCGTAAAAAGCCTCTTACGCTTTCGGTCTTGAGCATTGACCACATGACCGGCCATATACTTCATATAAAATAAATGATTTTTTTTATATTTAAAAATATTTCGGTTTTTTCGGTTTTTTCGGTTTCGGTTCGATTTTGAAATCAAACATGTTCGGTTCGGTACGGTATTTTATGTTCGGTTTCGGTTTTTCATCGGTTCGGTTTATTTGGTCACGGTTTGATTTGATTTGATTCGGTTTTCGGTTTTCGGTTCTACGAACCCACCCCTACTAGCCGGTGAGCTTCTTACATATTTGACTGCATTTCTAATTGAAACCACTGATTTTTCCATGCACTTCAAACCATATTTCACAATAAGATTCACAATATGAGCTAAACATCTAACATGAAGATACTTTTCACCAAGAACAAGTTGTTTGTCACCATTACTCAATTTCCTCTTAATGTAATCTAATGCAACTTTGTTAGAAGATGCGTTATCCACAAAAACATTCAAAAGCTTCATAATTGACCAATCTTGAACACATTTTTTCAAAAGCTTTCCTATTGTCAAGCAATGAGGATTTACAATGACACAGAAGTTAAGAATCCTCTTATGCATAATCCAACTACTATCAATAAAATGTGCAGTGACTACCATGTAGTTTATATTTTGGAGTGAGGTCCATGTGTCGGTTGTTAAGCTAACACAATGATTTCTAAGTTCTGCTCTCAAATCTTCTTTCATTCTGTTATACATGCTTAAAAACATCTTCACCACAATTTTTCTACATGGAACTTTCCACTTAGGAATTGGAACTTTGCAAAATTTCCTAAACCCCTCTTTCTCTATTGCACCAAATGACATTTCATCTATAACAATCATTTCTACAACTGTTTTAGTGCAATTTTCTTGACTCTAGTGAGTAACAATAACTTCTTCCCCATTTATGCCATTAACAAAGTGCTTTTGACCTGTTCCTATGTTCTTAACACAACCAGGGTAGTTGAAACAATGTTGTTCTAAGTGTTTCTGTAGTGTGCTAGTCCCTTTTTTGGTTGAATCAGAAGCAATTTCGGTAGAGCAATACATACATGTAGATATTTGAGTATGACCAACTTGTACCTCTACACCACTTTCATTCTCTTTCATCAAAGGCTTTTTTATGTGGTGTAGTGCCCATACCCAAGAACGCTTTTTCCTTTCCGCCTTAGCTTCAAACCTCTTCCTCTTTTTTTACTTCACTTTTGGTGCGTCATTTGATTGAAGTGCATTATATTTGGCAGAAGTGCTATCCATTTCATCTATAATAAACACATAAAAAACAATTACACAATTATAATCAAATTAATCAAACAAAATAGTGAAGTGCAATATTAAATAGTAAATACAGTGTATGGAGTTTCATATTGATGGATAAGTGTACCCGGGGGTAGCTTATCTGAGGGGTTACTGCGGGAATAGCTTAGAGAGAAGTCAGAGCAAAAGTAGAGAGAGTGTATATTCAGTGTGAATTCACCATATTGAGCGTGGTTTACAAATGGGGAAAGGGGTGCTATTTATAGCAGCAATAAATGCTAGATAGGGACACATGTCATCATTCTGGTGGTCGAGGGGTCATCTCAACGGGGTGACACTGGCACTCGCATGTGGCCGCATTAAATGCGGTGGTTGGATGTGACGTTTGTACTCGGTACGTTGATACAGCGCATGTGGGTGGGAGATTCTGTCGAGGAGATGCCTTCGGCCATAGATGATTAGCCGAAGGCTCTTCATCCCAGGAGCCTCTAGGTTCCGAGGGCTACTGTTTTCGCCGTTTTCTCCCAGCAGCTTCGTAGGCCTAAAACAATTGTTCTGTGAGATTTTGGGGCCTTCGACCAGGGGACCGAAGGCGGCTGCGTGGGCAGCGTGGGCCTCCTGTCTCTTGGGGCGCAGTGACTTGGGCCTGATGTGCTTCCTGGGCCTGTTGGGCCAGTATAAGAATAGTGGGAGTTTATGGACCGGGGGTTCCCGGGCCATATACTCCATCACATATAATGCAATGTTTAACTTATTTCTAGAACAACATCGACTTTGGCCTTTTGTCATTTGAGTTATTTTGCTGGAATCCTAGACATTTTGGATAGAAGATCATGTATTGAAATAAAGAAATTAGGCAATAAATTCAGGCTAAATTTACTTTCATTAAGTTAGTGTGCACTACAATGTGTAACATCTCAAAATCATTTACACTTTTATAGAACACGGGATAAAGAGCAATCATAAGAATTTCCCCCAGCCCAGTTTGTCTAAGGATTTGTATCTCAGTAAGTAAACAACTAATACCACACTGAGCAGTTTAAATTACTTGGAACTACAATTTTAAGAGTTTAGATTGTGATCATCTTCTCCATCCAATTCCAAGAAAACAATGAACCAGAGAACTGGTGTGAAGATTTAAACACTAACATATATGGAGTAGCTCCTTTTTAGGCAGGAAGCTTCTTAATAGACCAGACAAACTAGTTCAGTACATATTTCTTGAATAACACTGTGAGACTAGCTACTTCAATACTTATTATGCTTATTAGTCAATTAGTTAACCTATTATTCATGAAACTAACACTACAGAAGAGATAGAATTGATAACTCACCTATGGAAAAACAAATATTATAATGGTTTGATTTTGAAACTTTGAAAGAGAAATGAAGAAATTAGATAGCTTGAAACAATGAAACTCACACACCGAGCTTCTTTGCTCTTCAAGGGATGGTTAAAAGACACAAACTATGAGCACGAGCTTCGGTCTTGGCAGGAGATCCACACGAAAAAAAAGTCGCTGACCAGAACAAGAAAGCACAAAAAAAAGTCAATATGTTGTCGTGGGTGTTTTCCGGACGGAGTCTAGCATTCACAAAGGATGTCTTGCTTTCAGCATCAACAATAGACACTAACTTGTTTATGGTAATTGTTTCTAGATATACTTTTTTCTATTTATCCTGAGAGAATGTTTGGATGTTTGATGAAATCTTCTTAGTGTTTGTCGCAAGGTCTGCAAACAATATTATTCTGTGTATAAATATCAACATCAATTTCAAATATGATCGTAGAAAGTATTCTATCTTTTGATTTGCATTTGTATATTAATTGACTTAATGTGCAAAATTCCAAAAGAGTATTTGCATCTGTTAGATTGCTATTTAGCCAATCTAACAAAGAGTATAAACTCTTGGGCTAGAAACTAGATATGGAGAAAAGTTCAGGGTAATTTTATTCGCAGCCCCTTTATTGTTATTCATCACAGCCTCTGAATTAAATAAAAATAAAACAATTCAAGTACCTAAATTATCCTTGTTGAAAAAGAAAATGACGATCCAAGCCGTTCAATGAAACAAAGAGTGTAGGAGACGTCTTAACTACAACATGTTGTTGCTCAGGCTGGTCAACGTTCACCGGCCACTTCACCGGAAAATACGATTGCTGATGTGAAATTGTGAATCGAAGAAGAACATAGAGATATTTAAGCTGATGTTTATCCACCAGGCCACCAGGGGAAAGTTCTCAACGATTTTCGTATCATTTATCCCTCTCTTACGGCTACTAAGTTATTTAATCTTCTGCAAGAAATAAAAAAAATCCTTCTAGCCGCCATTGCCCCTGCTCAATTTGCTATTCCAAAGATTCCCGAGGGAAAGAAGATTGAGATCTTAAGACCCTTCTTCTTGAGGCTTGGGCCGTATTCTTTGTTCAGAGTAGTAAGGATAAAATAGGGATTTGAATTATTTTATTTATTTTATTTAATTATTAAGTGACCGTGAGTAGCCATTTCGGGCTTTGAATATAATTACCCAAGTTCATATCTTGGTGGAATTCCAACCAAAGTTTGGGCTCAGTTTAAAACCCAAGCAGTCCATTTTTGGGTCCTGCTTGCAAGTAACGTCTTGTTGGCGGAGGAGGTTGCAGTCATCTAGTCGCCGGCCAGTCGTCTTTTGCAGTTAGAAGGTGAGACTTTTCCTTGAAAACCGATCACAGCCAACCATAGTCCTCATTTTTTCTATCTGTAATCACTAGAGTTCATGAACTAAGGCACATCCTTGCTACCCCAGAAATTAGGGCTTTTATGATTTCTGTAGATCGAAACTCTATAAAAAAGCACTAAACTTTGAACCAAATTATTATTAATGCTCTACATTATTACATTTTTCTTAAACAGAGCCTGAAGTTGGAGCTGACATTTTCTTCTCATTCTTTAACCTGTGAAGTTGCAGTGTGATGTCTCTGTGGCCGAAGCAGCAACCAATGGGAGATGAAAAGGACGCGTTTTATGTTGTTCGAAAGGGAAATGTTATTGGCATCTACAAAAGCTTAAGTGATCTCCAAGCCCTAATTCGGTCTTCTGTAAGCTCTGTGTTCTCGTTTGGTGTTTAGTTTTGTGATGCATTTGGCTGAAAGCTGTTTTATGTACTATTTACACGTAAGAATTTGATTTTGTTCAGTTGTATAAAAATATACGTAAGAATTTCATTTTTTCAAAATGTAGAACAAGTAATATTTTTGGATTAACTTAGAGGTGGTATGTGGTACTGATCTTTCAGATTGGAGAACCTTCTATAAGTGTGTTTAAAGGGTATTTCCTGGCCAAACAGTCTGAAGAATATCTTGCTTCTCACGGGCTTAAGAATGCAATGTACTCCGTTGACACCATTGATGTTCGAAATGATCTATTTGGCTTACTTGTGCCCTGTCCTTTCCGGGTTTGACACCTAACCTTTTATTTGTAATGCTCCATTTGGATGAGTGTTTAACTTTATATTTATATTACATGAATACATCATAGTGCTGCACCAAAGTTTGTAAGTATTTGTTTCCTATCATCAGAAGAAAAAATAAAACAATCTACCATTTTATTTATGAAAGAAAGAAACGAATATCATTGGTTTTTTCATTCTTTTATCTTCATGACCTTTTTTCAAATTACTCCTCTGTTACATTGGAAATGTATATTCTGGTCAAGTATAATAACACTTGCAGTGATGTTCTTTTTCAGTGCATTGTTGTCTTTTAAGCCCAAGCTTGCTAATCTAAATGACTAAAACATTAACAGAATGACATGGGTTTGATTTAATAGAAGTTTCTCAAAATAGGAGTTCATGAGTCCTATTTTCGGAAGAATACAATGCAACTCCTTTTTGAGAAAATTTACAATGTTTTACACTTTTACTCCTATCAGGGATTTTTTTCTTTTAATAGAAGTTGCTCAAAACAGTACTAAAACATAGACAATGTTATAACATAGGATCAAGTACGTTTTCTTCCTAAAATAGGAGTTATTTAGTCCTATTAAACGAATAAAAATACAAAAAACTTTCGTAAATAGGAGTGCATGAGTCGTATTTTTAGAAGAATACAATGCAACTCCTATTGAGAAAATTTGCAATGTTTTACTCATATTTAGGGAATTTTCTCTTGTTTTAAATGGATGAAACTTTCTTGTTAGTTTATTCAAAATGGATTTTTGTGGCAGCAACCAGGATCTTCTAAAGACAAACCACTCAGCAAGGAGTTTCAGGAGAAGAGAATACTGGTAATAAGCAATACAAGAATATTTTGATATTGCATGATGTTATGAGCATTTGCGAAAAGTTTTTGGTTCTATGACATATTTGTGCATACTAAACTTTTGAGTCACTCTATTTGGTTTTGTTTTCAACCTCTAGTTTCCATCTCCAGTCGTTCCTTTTGATTCCCATAATCCCATTATAAGTAAGATTAACCATAAACCATCGAACCTTGAAAGATAAAAAGTATCTAACCACTGCCCCATATTCAGAATGTGTTTCTAGTCATGTTCGAAACTTTCTGGTTCAGTCTTTTGTTATTCTATATTTCAACCAGGCACCTATTGACCAAGCATCGGAAGTTTTATATTTATTGGAATTTAGATATGAATTCTTCTTGCTTTTGTAGTTTGATTAGATGAAGCTGATTAAAATTGTGATATTTAGTTTGTTCTCTATGATCCAACTATTTTTTTGTGATATGTTTGCATTCAATTTCAATCATTCATCTTCATTATGAAGAAGTTGGTTTAAATGGGACATTTTTCTTGATCAACAGGAAATAACTGGACCTGCTATGTATTCAGCTGCTGCCATTCCACAAAAACAAGGAAAATTAGATAATTTCCTTGAAGTTCCTCCAATTTCTTCTTACTGTGTAAGTTTCTTCATTGAAGTTCTCATCCTTCGCTTTCTTCTACACATCATGTCAGGTTCTATGTATGAAAATGTTGAGCCTATAAAGGAATCAGCCTCTTCTTCCATCAATTATTTATAGTAAATTACAGAGTATCATTAAAGGAGAGAGTCAGTGTGAACAGTCTACTGTAAATGTCAAATTGTTATCAAAAGATAAGCCACACCCTCTTTGAAAATTTGAGCTGACTACGCAGCATGCATACATAAACTCCAATATATATTAGACCTTCATCACGGATCCTATTGGTTTCATTTGCCCTTTTTCTTTTTCATAGTTCTTTCTTTTCTCCTGGAGTATTTTTCATTAGTGTTACTAATTGTCACATTTCATTATTTGCAGAGCTCTTGTGTTCTTGAGTTTGATGGCGCTTCAAAAGGAAACCCTGGACTTGCTGGCGCTGGGGCTGTTCTGCGTGCAGCAGACGGAAGTGTGGTAGTTATTCTTTTTTCTTGTACACATTCTTTGGTTGGGTTGAAATAGGAAAAAAAGAAATGTGAGTGAGAGAAATACGGGAGAAATGAGAAACTTCTCTTTCCTTTGGTGACAAGGGAATGGAAACAGTAGCTTCCACCACCGTTTTCCTACTCTCTTATGGGGATTAATAGGAGAGAAATGATGTTCTTCTCAATTTCTACATATTCTTCTCTCCATTTCTCTCCCACCAAACAACACTAAAAACTACCTGGTTTTCCTCTCCTTTTTCGTCCATTTCTACTTTTTTGTCTTTTTTCTTTTCTATTCCTTCACTCAACTAAGCATAGGCATACAGCGTACTGAAGTACTGAACATCGGTCATACTGATGAGATACAGGCTTACAGCTTCCAACATTTTATACTTTTATTTTTTTATAGGTTTTCCGGTTGCGTGAAGGTTTGGGCATTGCAACTAACAATGTTGCTGAGTACAGAGGTTTGATATTGGGATTGAAATATGCTCTTGAGAAAGGCTTCAAACACATACGTGCCCAAGGAGATTCAAAGCTTGTCTGCATGCAGGTCGTTTCTCTCTATTTTCCTGAATTACCTACACTCATGAACAAAATCATGCATGTTTATTAATATCTTTCTGCAAAAAGAGATTTGCACAAAAAATTACTGATCATGCATGATTTTGTACAAATATTTTTCTATGTTAACCTTCCTATTTTATTTACCTAGTATTTTTCATGTCCCAAACGGGACATTAAAAGTGTCTTTGCGACGGTGTGACCTACAATGTCCCATTTGGGACCCGGAAAACACTAGTGAAAGAAAATAGAGGAACATTGGAAGGAATGAAAATTTAGGGGAAATAGAAGATACACTAAAACACAATAAATTTGATTTTGAAATTTGTTGATATGCATTTTATATATTTATGTCTACTATATAAACACCTAAGTCTAAATCAATGTAAAAGTTTTTTTAAAATGTAGTCATATTACATTTTCCTTCATTTTTCCAAGCTGAAATCGATATAAGAAATTAAATTATCTTCGCATTTGTTTCATTGCCAGACATTTTCCTGGATCCACACAGATCCTTAATATTTTAATATTGGAACAGACTCAGGGACTGTGGAGAACAAAGAACCAGAACATGGCTGAGCTGTCAAAGGTGGTCAGGGAACTTAAGGAGCAATTTGCATCTTTCCATATCAGCCATGTCGATAGAGTAAGTTTAGTATTTCCTCAATCTCAACTCAAGTTATCTCGTCTCGCAAAATTAAAAGCACTCTAAACTGTTACCTTCTTAAACGGTGGGGCTTGTTTTCTGTGTTTCCTCTTTCCATATGAGTTAACCAACCAAAGTTGAGCATGTTGATGGAAAAGAAATTTGCACTTTTAATTCCTCAATTGCTTGACATGATGTAATTTGGATCTGTTTTTCAATCTTTGACTGTAAATTCAGGTCATCAATTTTTTTTATCACTTTGAATCTTTGATACTATTAGGCTGTCCATTAAAGTCATCGTTTACATTGTTAAATACGGAGTATTAGGGTTTATGGGGACATTCTTGTCATTCTATATAGCTGAGAGTACTCCTATAAACATTAGTACCAAACGTGGATTTTAACGGAAAAGATTGATTCTCTCCGTTATTACAATTGAGGGATTAAATTGATGGAAGAATGAAAGATACCTCTCGTATATAATCCATAAATGTCTCTTAACTGAAGGAATCTGTAAAAGCTTTCCTCCATTCTGACTGGATTTGTTTTTACATGGCAGGAATACAACACCGAAGCTGATGCTCAGGCAAATGTAGCTGTGTATCTTGAACGTATAGACATTTTTGTTCATTTGTTAAAAACCACCCCTTTCTTGACATGTTTTTCACCCTTTCATATTTTCGAAACAAAGATATAATTATTCTGAGAACCTACTGTTTGTGCAGATGGTCGGATTGAAGTCGAATGAGGAATCCCGGAGTAACAGAAAGTAGAATCATTAATTGAGGATGTCCCCCAAACATGGATTTTGGTAGGGATCCGCATCTAGAATACTGACCCTGTTTGGATTAGCCATCCGGCTGATCAAATTTGTAGATATGCAACAAATTGTCAAGTTCATTGTGTATTAGGGAGGATGCTTCTCTTTCTGCTATTATTGTTTATGTAGATTCTAGGGTTACTGGTCATGCCTTTCTTCTTCAAATTAATTGAACAGCTGATTAACTACAAAATTATATGGATGGCGACCTATCTTACAAGAACCATATTGGTCCGGTCGTGACCTCATTACAAAGCCTGGTTGGTCAAAACATTAAAAAAAAAATGGAATTAGTTTCAAGGAGTATCGACCAATAACTATATGATAAATAAAAATATAATCAAAGTAGAGTATGTTTTTTTGAAGAAATCAAAGTAGCGTGTGAATAGTGTAAGATTCAACATGTTGCAATTATTTAAGAACTAAGGTAGTATAAATAGGCTTTTAACACATGAGATTTAAACAAATCTGACAGACCATATTATACTAGAAAAATTCAATCCAAATGATTAACCAAGCATTCCAGCCCACCTGGTTGTGAGGTTACCGTAGGGGTGGACCTGGACGAGCTTTTTTTGGGAAAGTTTGAATCGGAATCGGCCCGGGTATAAATCGGGGCCGGTCCGGGTTGGGCCTGGTTCTATGTTTTTTTTGCTTTCTAATTAACCCCTGACCCTTCACCCCCACCCCAACCCCCCCCCCCAAACACCCAGCCCTAACCAAGAAAAACAAAATAAATTGAAAAAAAAAGCCTGGGCTGGTTCAAGGAAAACGTGGCCTGAGCCCGGCCCACCCAACCCGCCCCAACCAAGTAAAAGTCCGGGCCCGCACAGTAGTGGGCCGGGCTGAACCGGTTGGGTCCACCCCTGGGTCACCGTGCCTAGTGAGAGGTCTCGAGTTTGAAACTCGCAAGACACATAAGAGTTTGAAACTCAATGGAGTGAGTTTCAGTCCTGATTACTCCAGGGCCCCCAGGCGCCCCCTGGAGAAAAAAAATCAATCTAGATGAAAATATCAAAATAACCATGAACAAAAGTTTTTTTTGGAATAATGCTGATTAAATAAATAATTCTCAAAATACTATTGGGGTTAAAAATAACGTGTGATAAAATGACGTATGCATGTCATAAACCACGACCAATACCAACTCTCTCCATCCTCTGCTTCACAAATAGCAAATGCTAAAGGGAACAATTGATTATTAGCATCACTACCCGTTGCCACCAATGGGTAGTGATGCTTAAATGGATGGCTTAAATGTCTAAAAAACTCTTTGAAATTGCACACAATCAGTGGTACCTGAAAGATGAAGAAAATTAGGGTAACGAATTTAAAATGGAATGTAATATGATACAATAAAGATACTAATAACTCGTTGGTACCTGAAAGAGGTGGGTATCAATGCACGACCGTCCTTGGATTGAAATGTTATAATGCCAACATGAAGGTAGATACCCGTATTTTTCCTTCATAAGCACGACCGTCCTTCAAATATTTCACTGCTAGCTTTTTGCTTAGCCAACAAACTTCGCTTGTATGAAGGTAGATACCCGTATTTTTCCTTCATAAGCTCACTAATAGTGCAAACTTTTAGTGATGGATCAGTAAGAAGATCAATAATTTCACGGGCTATAAACTGAGCTGTGATACCAGCATGGTCATTGTTATCGACGTTACCTAGGCAATTAGGTATATGAGGACCTGCATGTTTCTTCGTAACCCGGATCCGCCAAGTGCAACCACATTCTTTTTTCCTCTTACACTCTGCCACCCATTTGTGTTTATCAGACTCTACAACTGAGAAAAATCGGTTCCTCTTTACAGAGTTCACCATCTGCAGAGAAGCGATTAGAAGTTGTACAACCCTTCCATGATTCATCAAATCCTGTAGGGAGCTCATAAACCTTAGTGCAGTGACTGGGTGGAACATTGCCAGTTATGAGAACACCATCATCTTCATCTGAATGTGTTAGTGTGTCATGGTTCACAATTTCATTTGCATCATCATGGGTGCATTGTGAATCCAGAAATGTTACATCAGTGTTCACATATCTTTCATCCTCTTGTATAATCATATTCATCACAACTAGAACACTTGTGGATGGACAAGGCAATGACGGGTTATCGGGTTATATGGGCAACACCGTCACTTCTACAACATATATCTCCATGGTAGGCATAGCAAGATTCGTGATTAAAGTCCACAATCCCGTAACGGCTTCGTCGTCAGCAAGATGCATCAACATGTATGATCCACCATGAATGAGATATTTAACTTTCAAATTCAACTTGTTCATACGATTGATGGATGTGGCAGTATAAATTTTATTCATTAACCCAGTCATATCCACCCCATAGGAAACAACAATTATCCTCCGTCTTCCCCCTTCACAATGAATTCTGTTTGATTCCTTGATAACATTTCCTCCCCAATGATAAATAACGGGGATGTTTTGAGCGTTCATATTCTACCAAAAATTCATTCCAAAAAAACTATGACTTATGCCGCACGTTAAAGATTCAACGACAATTACTTTAATTCAAACAAATTATATTAAATCATATATATCATTTTTATGATTTCATTCAATTAAAAACTCATATAGATACATATTAGGGTTTCATACAATTTCATCCAGTTCCAAACAAATTTCTATTCACTCAATCCAACCAACACAATAAATATTTCAAATTCTACAAATTATATAAATTCAAGCATTTTAACATTATTAACAATTTCATAACATCAAATACAAAGAAAATAATCCAAAAAAACAGCAATTCTGAACAAAATTTAAAAAAAAACTAGTTTTAGCAAAAATGGTGAAATACCTCGATTCAAACGGTCCTTCGTTTGGATGATTTCTGACCGGGAATCAAATTGGGGTCACTGGTTTTGTCGCATCAGTCACATGGCTTTTGTTCGTCGTTCGTCATCTGGGAGGAAGAAGGAAATTTCGCTTATAAATGAGCCGCCACTCGAAGTGGCGACTTTTGTGTTGTAAGAGAAGAACCGCAGCTCGGAGTGATGGATTTTGTACTGTAAGAGAAGAACCATCACTTCAAGTGACCTTAACCACAGTTAACCCAACAGTATTTTGGGAATTACTTATTTAATTAGCATTATTCCGGGGAAAAATCCATAAACAGTCCTCGATTATCGAGAAAATATCCTCAAACGTTCACTTCATTATCATAAACTATATTGACTTGCATGCGTTGATATTCAGAGCCCGTCTAGTTAATACTCAAATCGGCTGTATTGGATGATTCTGCTTAAATTTATGAAGTTCAGGCTGAATTAGCTATATTGGCTAATTCTGCCGATTTAAGAAAAAATTATATGTAAAATATACTCCCTCCGTCCCTATATAAAAGTATCCATTCATTTTACACACATCTTAAGAAAGTGGGTTTGGTTGGTACTGTTTGGCACTGTTTGGACACTGTTTGGCACTGTTTGGACACTGTTTGGCACTGTTTGGCACTGTTTTGCACTGTTTTGCACTGTTTTGTTTGCCAAAAAAGGAAAGGGAACTTTTATTTAGGGACGACCCGAAAAGGAAACAAATGTTTTTATTTAGGGACGGAGGGAGTATTATGTTAATACAATAAAGAAAAAATTATATGAAAAATCAACTTAATTGATCCTCTACAATAACTTCAACTAATACAACCAGAAAGGTAACTTCAATCTTAGTTTTTCTTATTACGTAGTATTACACAATTCAGCGAGCGAAATCAACAATTACATGTTTGGTAAAAAAATTGGTAGAAAAAGCTGACAATATTTACCTTTCTTTTTCCAAAGACGTGACAACATAAGTCTTTTGACGTATTTAATAAAAGTTTTGAGACAATTTTTTTATGTAAATATTCATTACAATAAAGGTTTTATTGCACTAACAAATTTGACAAAGAATGAGATTTGGAAGATTCTATGGTATCCTTAAGGTATCATACCTTTGTCCACATGGACCAATCAGAATGACGTAGTTGAATTATTTAAATCTAAATTAAAAATGATGTAATGATTTGAACCAATCAAATGAGTGGTAGGTATGGTATACCATTTTTTAAATAGGTACTGAAGTTGTCACCGTGAGATTTATTTAGGAAATTTGTAGTACACACTCCATTATTACAAACAATTAATGCATTCACCTTATAAATTCGTTAAGGACTAAGGATGTAAAGTTTGATATTTTTATTTGGACTCTTTTCAGTTTCAGAGTAAACCAGATTAGATTAGACTTGAAGAGTTGTAAAATACATATAGATGAAACATTTATCGGACCGGATCAGATCATATCAGTTCAAATCAGAAAATTTGAAACTTTCTCGCTCAAAAAATTGGGTGCAATTTTGTAGAATCAAATTTGCCTTGACTCTATTTTTTTCATGCTTAACGTCCTTGGGGTTATATTACTACATAGGCATGGAATCAGGTCGCCTGGGCTGATCTCAGGCCTGACCCAGTATGCACCGGTACCAGTTCCGGTCTGGGTACCAGATCGGGTCTCCGTCCGGTCCAGGGTCCAGGGTACTTTTTTTTAATTCCTAATTTATTTAACAAGTGCTACACATTATAAATGAAATATATATTTATTTGAAATATGAAGTACAATTGCGAATTGAGAATAATTTAAAACCTTAAAACCATTTGTTAATTGTTGGAATTTCCTCCAACGTCGATTGTTGTTTCCTTCATGAAGTGGCGGTCAGGGGCGATACAAACTTCTTGAGTTCTACGTTGGGCCTTCAACCAATTGTGGAAGCAAATGAGCGTCTCAAAAGATTGTGCGCTCAATCTCGTTCTATAATTTGTTAGGGCATTGTCGGCTTCGCAAAATTCTTGTTCCGCGGCTTCTGTTGACACTGACATTGATAGCACTTGCTTCGCCATCTTTGATAAAATCGGGAACATTTCTTCTTTCTCCTTCTACCATTTGAGAAAGTCAAAGTCAACCCCTTCTTCATACTCACAAGAAAACATTAAATATAAAGAAAGCTCGTTAATCGAGCTTTGTGCAACAGCGAGAGTTGAGTTTTTTCATAAGATTACCAAATGTAGATTTGAAAAATGATTTTCCTTTAGATGAGGAAGTAGTTGGTTTCGGGGAAGGGGGTGTGTTATCATAATGTGCATGAAACTCATTAAATAATTGATAAAATAAACTACTAATCTCGCTGTATTGCTCTTTAGAATCTATGGACATATCTTCGTACATATCTAATGGACCGAAAAAACAAGTATAAC